AGGGTTTAGGGTTTAGGGCCCTGCTGTACCGTTGCATAGTTCTTAAAGTCTTTTCTCAAGAGCGTGTGCAGCTTGGAAAGCTTCGTGCCATCGGTCTGAGTTGAGGCATGTAATGTGGGGGGGGGGGGGGGGGGGNNTAATCAGAATAGGGTTTTGGGCCCCTCTCTGGTATATGTGTAATAATAAGGAACCTAAGGACTAAGGAGTAAGTTTGGTAAAATTTTCGGCTTCTATAGTAGGGAGATGGTTTCCGAGATTTTGGGTGTGGGCTCTGGAGTATAGGGGTTTGCGGTTTGGGCTCGACTCTCGGATTCAGGTTCAAGGTTTGGCACCTACTGTGGGTGCCCGAATAATTAGAATAGGGTTTTGGGATCCTAAAGAGTAATTTCCCGTTTGCCCAGTCCCAACCCTAAGAGCCCAAAGCCATTGCAGCGCGGAATATCCGTCTCCTTCAGAAACCATTGACCAAAAGAGTCGCTCAAGCTTGTCCATCTCAACAAAAAGAGAACCGATGATGTAAAGCTAGAAGGTATACAACAGCTCTTCCAGCGAGATCCTGTAGCCCAAAAGGGCGTAGCACTCTCAGGGGATATAGAAGGAACCCATAGTCTTAAGATTTATATAAGTACCCTGAACTCTAAATTCTAAACTTAAGCAGGCACAAGACATCGGAGCACTTGGCCCAGGGTCCTGGAGTCTGCATCGTACACGAACACCGGCTCGCCGTCCTGACGGCCGGGGTTCTGCCAGCAGGCACCGGAAACCCTAAACCCAGACAGAGAGTTATGGCATTTTGTTGAGGGGCTTCAGAGTTTGGGGTCTAAGGATGATTCGTTTCGGCTTCCTTCTGATTCTGTGCTCCTTCTGTGCAGCAAAGCTTCTGGTTAAGGTTTTGCTTTGTGGCCCTACCGTAGATCTTGGGGCTAGATGACGGAATTTAGGATCACACAGGTTTCGCCAACTCCGACATCGGGGTGCCGACTGGCTTACGACGTTCACTAATGTGGTCCTGGATTCTTCTACCTTGAAACCCTTAAACCATCTCAAACCCTATACCCTAAACCTTACACACCTATACCCTAAACCCTAAACCTTAAACCCTAAACCTTAAACCCTGAACCCTAAACCCTAAACCTTAAACCCTAAACCTTAAACCCTAAACCGCTCCTCATAGCCCTCGCCGGACTTCGAGGAAAAGATCGCCTGTGCATTCAGCTTTGCACACATCAGATCAGCGACGGCTACCCAAATCCTTGGGTTTAGGGTTTAGGGTTTAGGGTTTAAGGTTTAGGGTTTAGGGTTTAGGGTTTAGGGGTGTAAGGTTTAGGGGTTACGGTTTAGGGGCCACCGATAGTCGCCATCGTTGTACGGTTCTGTTGGTTATATAGGGCCCTAGCTACCATAAGATTGCTTAGCCAACAAATCGAACCATAGATACGTAGCACTCAAAACCTTAAATCCACCGTCCCCTAACACCCAAGCCCTAAACCCCCAAACCCTAAGCCCTAAACCCTAAGCCCTAAACCCTAAACCCTAAACCCTAAGCCCTAAACCCCTACACCCGAACCCCACAAACTTGGTCAGGAACCCGAAGACCCGACACCGAAAACCCAAAACAAGAACTAGCCCAAAAACATCAGCCACTCACCCCCCCCCCCCAAACCCGAAGCCTAAATATCCAAAAACCTGATATAGGGGCCTTAATGGTTAGAATAGGGTTTGGGGGGATATTATATACTATAAGTATAATCGGGAACCCCAGAACCCTATTCTAACCATTAAGGCCCCTACATTATCCAGCTCCTTTTGCCCTGATACGACCTCCAGAGAACCCTTGTTGTACTCATGTAGAACGCTTCCAGAACATTGAAACCCGAGGCCCTAAACCGTCCAAGCCCGAAAAGCACTGGAACCCTAAACCCTAAACCCAATACCCTAAACCCAATACCCTAAACGCCTAACACCTAAACCCAATAGCCTAAACCCTAAACTCAATACCCTAAACCCCTAACACCTAAACCCAATACCCTAAACCCTAAGCCCAATACCCTAAACCCTGAACCCAATACCGTAAAGACAACACGTTGAACCCGAAATCCTTCAGGCCCTAAACCCTAACCCTGCAAAAACTTACTGTCGTAATAACGATAGCAATAGTAAGAATAACAAACAATGACAATAACTATGATTACAATACTACTGCAAGTGTTTGCTGATCTAAATTCCTTTCATCCCGGAATCTTCAAGCCCAAACAACTGAGACCGTCAAAATCATGGTCCGTTTGGGGAGCCCTATACGATTATGCTTTAATCAGGGAGCTAAAGAGCCCCTAATCTGGACCATCGTCCGTTTAAAACCGTTGTGAAACCGTAATCGGATCCTTATACCTTAGAGCCCTTGTGAAACCCTCTGAAACCCTAAAGCCTAAACCCTAAGCATCCCTAGGGTCTAAACCCTAAACCCAAAACTGAAAACCTTGAACCCTAAACCCTAAACCCCTAACTTAAAACCTTAAACCCTAGACCCTACACCCAAAACTTAAAACTTGAAACCCTAAACCTAGAACTTAAAATCCTGGACCCTACACCCAAAACTTGAAACTTGAAGCCCTCAACCCTAAACCCTAAACCCTAAACTTAGACCCTAAACTAAACTTAATACCTGAAACCCTAAAACCTACACCCACCTCCATGGCAAGAGCCAAGAACTCCTTGGCCACACCAGGCCCGGAGCCCCTGCGCATTGCGAGGGCGCTGCTTGGTGTTCTGAGGGTTTAGGGTTCAGGGCTTAGGGTTTGGGGTTCAGGGCTTAGGGTTTGGGGTTCAGGGTGTAGGGTTTGGGGTTTAGGGTTTGGGGCTTCCGATTTGGGGTGCAGGAGGGTTTAGGGCTTAGGGTTTAGGGCAGTTTAGGGCATGGACCTTAGGGTTTAGGGTTTAGGGCCTAGGGATCAGGGGGTTTGGGGTTCAGGGTTGAGGGTTTAGGGCTTAGGGTCTGTGGTTTAGGGTTTTAGAGTTTAGGGTTTAGGCTTTACGGTTGAGGGCGTTTCTTGGTGCTTTGAGGGTTTAGGGCTTTGGGTTTAGTGTCAAGGGCTTAGGGTTTGGAGTCTAAGGTTTAAGGTGTAGCGTTTAGAGTTTAGGGTTTGGGGTCTGAGGTCTAGCCTGGTGTTCGATGGATGTACAACGGTTTGCAGCATTTGTACAAGCTGTTTTAGAATTTATACCATTTCCCAGTGTGCTCAAAAGGCTTTGCGGCGGACTAATCGTCTTTCCAAGGGCACAACATGATGCTAGCCATCCTCTTGATTTCCGCGCTTCTTGGACCATCAAGGTTACTGTTGCATTTCACGATGCTCAGCACTGTAACCAAGAAAGGAACCTCCTCGGCGCCAAAGTTGCTTAGGTTTTAAAGGTTGAGGCTTCGTGGTTTAGGGTTTAGGCTTACCGATGTAGACCCCCTTTTTATTGGGACTACCTTATTCTTGATTATTACGATCCCAACCAATAGAACAGGCAATCCCAAGATTCTACAGTTCAGGGTTCTAGGGCTTAGGGTTTAGGGTTTATAGGGTTTAGGGTTTAAGGGTTCAGGGTCTGGGTAGGGTGAGGGCAAGGGTTTAAGTACGGCGTGTCGTGCCTTTCACCAGAGAACTTGGCCATCAACGGTCGCGGAGATGCGGCATCGGCAAGCTGCCCTTAGATGATTACTGGCTCCGTTGATGGTGTGGGTGTGAAGATCGACTGCTAATAGCTCCAAGATATGTCTTCCACGCGGAGTTCGAGTGACTCGTTCCTTCAAACTCCTCAAACCCTAAACTCTGAAAGCCCCACCCTATATTACGCTACACCCCTTAACCCTAAACCCTAAACCCTAAACCCTTAACCCTATACCCTAAACCCTACACCCCTAAAACCTAAACCCAACACCCCTAGACCCAAAACCCTAAACCCTAAACTAATCCTTGGAGACCCCGCCCTGCACTAAGCTCTAAACGAGATTATAGGGGTTGGGGGGTTAAGGGCTCAGGGTTTGGGGTTTAGGGTTTAGGGTTTAGGAGATTATAGGGGTTGGGGGGTTAAGGGCTCAGGGTTTGGGGTTTAGGGTTGAGTGGTTAGGGGCTATAAGGGTTTAGGGTGGCCTGGCCTTTCTGCTGCGCAGAAGCCTTTTGTGTGTTCACATGATGTAGGGGTTGAAATGCCCAATATGCACTCAACATTATTGCAAAGGAGCCCATATACACTCACCAAATCCCTAACGAAAGTGCACTTCCACAGTGGATGGCTATGGAAACTTCGTAGGGAGTTGTGCTTACGGGTTGCATTTGTTCCGGACCGTGTTCCTCACGGATATAAGGGTTAGGGCGTACAAACCGCCTGTGCCTAAATCTTCTTCATGATGAGAAAGCTGCGGGGAGGAGCTTCTCTAACACGCCCACAGGGTACAGAGGAAGCTGGGTCGCAAAGTGGTTGCGGGATGAGCCTTGGTTGAAGACATCGGTCTTCGAACCCCGGACTAGCCCCCCTAAACCCTAAACCGATCTCGTCAGCCTGGTGGGGCTTCTGCGACATTGGGAGAAGAGGGTAACCCCCAAGGCGAGCTCAGAGGCTCTGAGGGCCATCAGGTTTTGGGTTTAGGGTTTACGGTT